ATATATATATATGTATGTATGTATGTATACCAACACATTTCATCTACTGGGATCTACATCTTTTACAGCTTCTTAAACGTCTGACGACTTTGCTTGGCCAGAAACAGAATGTAATGACTCTCCTCTGTGAGGTGTGCAGTTTAATTTGCATCTAAATGTAAATTACATAACTCAGTTTCTCATACAGTTCAGAAGCTTGGAACACAACTTTCTCCAGTTTTGAATGAAGAAAGTTCCTCGGGTAAGAGGCCGAATGTTTTTAACTGCAGAAGTTAACTCCAGTTGTTTTGGGTTTTTTAAGCATTGTTTGGATTTCCTGAATGACTGAAAATTTACACCAGCAGACACTAAAAACAGTCACTAAAAAGGTTCAGGAAACCTTAAGATCTTTGTTGCATGAAATAAAAATGAAGTTTCTTAAACCTACATAAATGAAGCAGATACTGGAACAACTTTGTATCACATGTGAAAAAGTTCAAGTATCAGGGGGACCTTGTGCATGAATGAACAGCTGAAATGAGCTGAGCAGCTCTGTCGTCCAGGGGGGAGCTCAGAGTAGAGCCGCTGCTCCTCTGCATCACCAGGAGTCAGATGAGGTGATGCAGGGACCTGATTAGGATGCATCCCTTTGGAGTTTTTCCCCCTGCATGTCATATTGGGAAGAGGCCCCAGGGCAGAATGGATGGAATATATAACCTCTCTGGTCTGGGAACTCCTTGGGGTCCCCCAGGAGGAGCTGGAGAATGTTGCTGGGGAGGGGGCAAGTCTGGGTTTCTCTCCTGGACCTGATACCTTCTGTGACCCGACTACAGAGAAGTTGAAGAAGAAGAAGAAGATGATGAAGTGTCACAAATATCACTGCAAAATAAATAAATAAAACACAAACTGTTCAGGACAAATGAGATCAAAATGCAAAAACAGGACAGGAATGGTTGCCAAATAATAGAATATCCTGATATAGGCCTACAATTTCAGTACGATTATTGATGACTGTGATGCTAGCGGTTGCAAAAACCCACATTTTATTCTCTTTGTTTGCTCACAAGCACAGAGAAGCCATAGAACTTGTCAAATATAATATTTGATTGCAGAACATGAATGTATAATAATAGATCATAGCAGCAGATGAATTCTGGCAGCTCAAACAGTTCATTCCTAATATTAATGCTGTGATGAACTTTTAATATTTTGTACATTTGTTCTAAGCATGAACCAAAGCAGTGGTTAGTATTCATAAAGTACTACTGTAAGAAAAGTGTTTTCCTAAGAGAATCCTGCTCCTGGTTCCTCATCAGTGTGTAAGTGTCTCCCTCTACTGGTGCCAACACAGAACACACCGCTCCTCCAAGCATCAGTCACCAGACAGCTGATTTTATCAGATGGTTTATTGAACCATGCAATCCACGTCACAACAGCAGCCTGTTACAGCCACACACTCACACAAACACACAAGTCAACAACTTGCAGTTGATTAAGGCAAGAAAAAAATAGAATATATATATATTTATAAAATCAGGTTATTTAAAGTTGACATCTTAAGAATTTTCTAGAAGAAATGAGGATGTAAACAGTGACCACAACTACGTGACAGTTCTGATCCAGATTACAGTACACACGTGATGCAGGACAAGAAACAAACAAATCGACTTCAGTTTTAGTACATTTCATAGTCTGTAGGTTTTATAGTAACAAGACAGTGGCAAAGTTCAGAGCAGTAAAAGTTTCTCCTTCGACATTTCTACAAAACATCTGACAGAAAAAAATTGTTTCTTCGTGTCATGCTGACGTTATCGATCAAGATTATTATTCTGTCAAGTTTTTACTAATATTTTTTAACTGTACAGTATTTGAACGCACCATTTGTGGAATGAAAATAAGGCACTTTGATGTGTTTAGCAGCTGAACTACAACCTAAAAAAGGAGGCTTTAGAACTTGGCTATTCTGACACACACACAGACAGACACACACACACACACACACACGCACGCACGCACGCACGCACGCACGCACGCACGCACACACAGAACACACACACCTGGTTATCTACAGTATAAGAGGTGAGGCAAACCTTTCTAAGTGCGAATGCATGCTGACACACATTTACATCAGTGAGCCACGCTGTAGCTGTAACTATCCATTTGACATGCCATCATTTGTAGCTCATCTGACTGATTGAACAAACCGGGGGTGGGGGGGAACGACTCTGCACATTCTCATACGGCTGACATGATCATGCATCAAGACCTGCAAATCTTTGGCCACGCCATCATTAGGAGAAACAAGCACGATACATTCAGAAAAAAACAGACTTTGTAGCTCATTGAACAAACTACCTTTAGCTTTCAGACGACATTAACACTGTTTTAATTTGCAGCGTTTACTGCAGGAATGAGTGACTGCATTTTTAACTGTCTACGCACCCTTCTTTGTAATAAAATAAACTCCCTACATAAAGCTAAAAAGTGTTAAACATTTACAGTAAGCAATTGTTTTGGTAAATACAGGACTGAAACATTCGTCAGTCGTAAAAATATGAAGCATTTTGTGCATAGTTTGGACAAACAAGAGCACAGAAAAAAAAAGATTGTTCACAGTTCTACTACAGACACAAAGTGGATCCTTCACTTCTATTAAAAAAACATCCATTAATGCTGGAGAGATAATGCAGAAACATTTGCCAAGATACTTAAAAATACTGTCTGAAAGGCAAGTTTTTAATCAAGATGCTAAAGAGAGGAGAATGTAAATCATTCAGCAGGTGTTGAAGTAAAACTACATCAAGTGTTGATGAAGTCGGTCCACAACAGCTGGGTGTTTAGGAGAGTTCTGTGAACCTCAGAATTTGAGGCTGTCTCTATTTTTTTTTCCACCAAGTGCTTAGTTAGTTCTTTTCAGAGATTGTTTCTTCACGGCGTCTTCACACAGAATGCATAGTCGAGGCGTCCTGCACTTTACATGCCGACTCACACATCAGTCCTGGGGCTCAAACGTAGATCCCCTCTGGGTTCAGGCCAGAGCTGAGGGGGCTGTGGAGGACGCGGAGATGGCTGGACATGGGATGGGACGACCTGGGACGCTTCAATGAGCCGGTCAGCTGAACCACATCTGACAAGTCAATAAAAGGGAGGAAAGAAAATTTGAGTTTGTGTCAATGTTAGACCAAAATAAATATCTTTGGAATGATATGAAACAGCTGTGCAAACGACATCAGATACCATAAAAAAACATCAGAAAAATTAAAGTCTCATTARTGCATAAAGGTACACGTATTGCATAAAAACAATGTTACACACCGCCTTTTGTAAGATATCTGATGTGCTTCTTCCACAGAGCCACCAGGGGGCAAAACTGAGCTTTGCAGAAGAAAAAGAAAAAACCCAACAAAACCAAGAKAAAAAAAAAAAAAAAAAAAAAAATCKAA